GATTGATGGATCTTAGGCCAATTCAGTGTTTACTCTGTGGCGGGACCTCCACACTGTTTCTCAAGCAGCTGCACTATTTCACATTCCTACTGGGAGTGCATGTTGTGGACAGATGGGTTTATAAACAGAATGACCATCCATGTTAGTATCTAATTGACCACATGGCTCAGCTTGGAGTCAAGTAAGAGTTCTTAAAAATAAAACTCAAAAAAACCTCTAACCCTTAGACCTTGTTCCTAGAACTAAAGCTAGGCACTATTTAAACATGTATTTTATATACACACACACCCACACACAAACACACACAGGTGGTTACTCCCCCCTTTTTTTGTTTTAGACATTTTTTTTTTGCTATAGAATGTGTGTGCATGCCAGAGGGACAGAGAGACAGAAAACAAGAAATCATCCCCTGGAAAGATGGCCATGCCGCAATCCCTTCTCCATTCTCCTCTCTGGATCTTGGGTGCACACAAACGTATGCATGTCATGAATTTTAAGGACTCGAACCATGGTCAGTTGACTATGTGGGAATTTAGGGACATAAACATTAAGCCATCTGCTGGTCCCAGTCACCGTATGTTAGGAAGAATAAACTTAGCAGTTGTTTCCCAAGAGACTACCACAAAGGAACATAATAAAGCCAGTACTGAACAGCGCGAAGGCACTAGGAAAAGCGTCCCATTCCCTGAGAGTGAGCGCGAGCGTGGACACACGCTCTACTCTTACCCTGGTTTTGGCATCAATTTTCGCTCCTCGATCAAGCAGTAGTTTGACCATATTTGCATTTCCTCTTTTTGACGCAACATGTAAAGGAGTGATGTCATTCTGTGGAAGAAAGGAAGAAAAAATGTTTTTATATTTTTGATTTAACCAAAACATTGCATCCTAAACCTACCCCAGCATATCCTTGCTCTTTCTTGGCTTCTTCCCCCCCCCTTATTAATTTATTTACATATTTTAAATTTCATTTTCTTTTATACATTCAATCACATTATTTAGCTTACAAAGTGAATATTTCAACAGGTGAACATTTCTCCCTAGTCCAGTTGATAAAACCCTAAAATATTTTCAACAAATACCACATTTCTTTGTCCCATTAATGCTTTCATGAACAGTACACTTCCCAATGTTTCTTACAGACAGTAATTTTCTTCAGAAAGAAACTCAAAATAAGGGATGAAAAATTTGAGGGAAATAGCTTATAGGGCAAGGTTTGAGTTTATTTCAAAGAACTGAAGTGCCTGGAGGATGAGATTTCTTTTTGCTCAAAAATCCCATACCTTCAAGTCAAAGTGTTTTCCTACAAATTTGTGTGACACATACTGGCTAATGAAGTGTTCACTAATGAATGGCAGGTTAAGTTTAGAAATGTCATGTGATTTGGAGTCTTCTCTGGGTGCAGTTGGAGTAGCGGGTTGTCAAGAGACAACAGCAACTGAAGCTGGGAAATCTGTCTCTCTGTATGTAGTCACATGACTTCCTCTGCCCATGGTGTTTAGATGTGTTTACAGGCATGTGTTAGTAATCTCATAGAAACCTTTCTTTTTTTTTTTTTTTTTTTTTTGAGAGAGAGAATTTTGCTACAGAGCATGTGTGCTCACCAGAAAGAGACAGAAAGTGAGAAATCACACCCCCCCCTCCCAGTGGGGATGGCCATGCTGCAATTCTTTCTCCTTTATTCTCCTCTTGGGATTCTGGACACACAACACCCAGTGTGAATTTTGAGCTGCTTGATCTGGGACTTGAACCATGGTTGCTCATGTGGGAGTCCAGCTATGTAACCATTATGCCATCTGCTGCTCCTTGCCTTTTATTTTTTAATAATAGCCAGGTTGTTAGGACAAGCTGAAATTCCAATCAAGGTCCCCTTAAGTTCAAAGGTAGGCCATCATAGTTGTTTCCTCCATGCGTCTTACAGGTACAATCATTGTTTCCATACTATCAAGGAAATAGATGTATGTTTCTATGTGTGTATAACAGCAATATAGATTTAAAGTCTGTTATTCTTAAACATCAATTATATCACAAATGAACTAGGCTCATAGGGATCATATATTTAATTTGATAACATACAATGTTATCACTACTAGATATTAATCACTTCCAACATTTTGGACTCTGGTAAATTCTTTATTGTCTCATGTAATTCTCATAATACTACATACAATCAGAATTACAATTCCATTTTACAGTTGCAGGAAAAGCCAGCAGGACCAGGAATCAACTATTACATGCTTAAACTCTTAAAAACATGATTTTAAAGAGCACTTTATCATGAACAATTCCAAATATACACAAAATTTGAAAGAGAACAATGACCCCACCCCAGATTTTGCCATAGGGCACATGCACTCACTAGAGACAGAGAGAGAGAAATTAAGAACCCCCCCACCCCCATTCCCTCCCAGGGTGAGAGGATGTCACACTGCTTTTCCTCCATTATCCTCTTGGGATTTGGGGCATGCACACACACCCAGTGTGCTTTTCAAACCACGAGTCTGGGACTCTAACCGGGCAGTCAACCATAAGAGATCCTGCTGCCCCAACCTCCATGCCATCTGCTGGCAGAAAACAATGAATTTTAAGTGCTCCTCGCCCTGGTTCAGTAGATATCAGCCTTTTGCCAATAGTACTTATTCTATACCCTCATTTTTTTTTTTCTTACTGAAGAAGTTCAAGAAAAAGAGAAAGAAAATTCTAGGCATTGAATTATTACATAAATACTACAATTTATTTAACTGATAAGGAAAGTTCAAAAACAATCACAATACTACTGTTATAACTAAGAAAGCAAAAATAATTCCTTCACAGTACCTAAGACCCTATTCACATTCAAATTCTCCAATTATCTCAGTTGGTTTACCCCTATTAGAAGGTTCACATATTTCTCTAGGTTGAAAGGTCTCTTATATCTTTAAATTTCCATTCCTACCCTAACCCCCCCCCCCCCCCCCCATGTCCATTAAAGTAATTGGGTAATTTATGTACAGAGCTTTCTACAATCTGGATTTGAGTACATCTTGATGGGGTGTTGTTTAACACATCCTTTCCCCCCTGTATTTTCTGTAAACTTTTCTAATTAAATTTTTAAAGGTTTTTGTCATGGGTATGTGCACTCTCCTGAGAAACAATGAGATGGAAAGTGAGAAATCACCCCCTCCCCGTAAGTGGATGGCCATGCCACAATCTTTTCTCCTCCATTCTCTTCCTGGGATTTTGGGCATACACACATGCCCAGACACACACCAGGATAATTTTCAAGTCCCTAGGTCCAGCACTTGGACTGTGGTTGGCCATTTGGGAATCCAGTGCCATAACCACCACACCATCTGTTGGCCCCTAATTAAATGGTATTTAACAATTATAGATTTTTCCACAAGTAGAGAGACTATACATTTTATCTCATTATTCTTATATGCTAAAACATAAAGGCAGAATCATTTTCATATAATAAAAATTACTCTTATCATTCTTAGATGTGAAATGATAAATCATTGATAAATGTATTAAATGAAAAAAAAAGAGACTTGCAGCATGGACAAGGTTAATATCTTCGTTCTACACCAGGATTAGGCAAAGGGCCAGATGGCAACTATTTTCTGCTTTGTAGACCATGTAGTTTCTGATGCATCTATTCAACTCTACCATTGCAGCACAAAAGCAGCCACAGAAATGTGTAAAGAGACGAGAGTGGGTGTGTTCCAATAAAACTTTATTTGCAACAGCCGGCAGTGGGCTACATTTGGACTGTGGGCAGTACTTTGCTGATTCCTGGTTTTTTACTGAAAGTTTCAATCAAGTGTGGAAGATTATAGAAGAGAAAAGGAAACTCAATGCTCTGCTGTGTATAGGCTTTAATCTTGTCTGGTGTGGACTATTTGGTGTGAGTGAAAGCTGGAAAAAAATATCATGACGACTTTTAAGTTTATCTTCCTTGTCTGTTTTTCCTGAGTGCAGTGTGTGGTTCTCATGACCCAAGTAGCACAGAAGATAGCCCTGAAGCAGCAGTGGAATGTTAGGTGAGGAGTACAGAAAACAGTTCCAATGGCAGGGCTAGCTCATTGAGCCCGAGTGCAGTAAGGCACAAAAATCTCATCGCTCCCCAGTATGAGCAAGGGCTTGCCTGCTATTTCCCTGGAAGCATGTGCCCTTGCCTGGTTGAGGACTTAATTAACCTTTACCACAAGCAGGCTAATTTTAGTGAGCGGAAGAACTCTATTTCTAATTTTGCCCTCTTCCATATTCATGTACTCTCTCATACTGTAGATGTTAAAAGGGTGCCTTGCATGTCGAACTCCCATATTTTTCTACACCTCTCTGACCCTTCCTTGTGGGGTGTTGTATAATTCTATAAAAATGCTACAAAGAGCTTACCCTTCTATACTTTCATTTTACCCTTAAAACAATCCAGTGAACTAGGATAAATATCGTTAACCCCAATTGACTGACAAAGAAGGTGAGGCATGGAACTAATCAGCAGTGTGCAGACGAGAAACAAAACAGCTAATTAGAGGCAGAAACAAGATCAGAATTCAAGTCTCCAGACTCTTAAGTTGTGGTATTTTCAGGGAAGGATCAGAATGCCCCAGTCTAAGAACTACGTTTCTCGTCCCTGTCAAAGAGAGGTTTCTACTGAAATGCATACTTTTATTCATCTCTGAACCATGTGGTGATTCCTCCAACTATGACAGAGACAAATCAAAATGAAGGCTGTACCTGTGAACCACTCCATGGGGTGTTTATATTATGATTCCTCAGTTAATCAATAAAAATGTATTATGCCTTATGGTGCATAAAGCTCAGTGTTTCCTTTCCACTGTCTAAGCAAGCAACAGAATTAAGGATTCCTAACACATCAAGAGTCTAATGATAATGGAGACATATAGCTTATGTGGGAGAACCCTCATTTGCTGCTGGTGAAATGGAAAATTGTACATGCTTTTTAAGGATCCCGTTTGGCAGTTTACAGGAAAAGCCTTGAAATCTGTAACTACAGATGTAAGATTGGTTGTCAGGTTGGATGCCATGGTAGAAAAGGCAGGAGTGTGAAGAAAGATGCATCTTTGAGGCCAGGCACATCCCTGAGACTGAGACAGAGCCAGAATGAATCTCCTGAGTCCCAGCATAAGTCTAGTATGGAATGTCAAGTAGGAGTGGTCAGGTGCTGAGCAGAAGCAGGAGGGTGATGAGAGACTTTGAGGTGTGCAGGTGAGCACAGAAAGCTAAGGGTAGAATGATGATGCTAAGTAACAATGTGCATGGAAAGAGGGAATTTCAGCAAAGATTTGGGATTTCTTTTTTTTTTTTCTTATTTTGAGAGGTTTTTGCTATGGGGCACGTGAACTTGCCAGAAAGACAGAGAGAGACAGAGAGACAGCAAGTGAGAAAGGAGGGGATGACCATGCCGCAATCCCTTCTCCTCCATTCTCTTCTCAGGATCTTGGGCGCACACACACAGGCACAGGCACCCAGTGTGAGTTTAAGCCACCAGGTTCGGGACTCGAACCACAGTCGACTACATGGGAGTCCAGCGACATAGCCATTACGCCAACTGCTGGTCCCAGACTTGGGATTTCTAAGAAACAGTCAAGTGGAAACACGTGGTAAGAAAAACCACAACATAAGAATTGAATTCCTTTGTTAGACTCATTGGCAGACTCGGCCTAGCTGAGAGAGGAACCAGTGAACTTAAAGATACATCAGTACAAAATTTTTGAACTAAAATCAAAAGAAAGAGTGGAACAGAAAGCACAGAGCATCCAAAAGTGGTGTGACAATATAAATCAGCTGACCAGAGCTGCGTAAGAAGACACAGAATGGGACCA